AGTTCTTCCAAGCTTTTCTTGAATGAAGTTTATAATCCTTGATTTTAGTACTAGGTCCATGATTCACCTTGAGTTGATTTTTTGTATATAGAGTGAGGTGGGGATCTTGTTTAATTCTTCTGCAGATAGTTTTCCAATTTTGCCAACACCATTTGTTAAAAAGGCTGTCATTTCCCCACCTAACTGATTTAATTTCCTTGTAAAAAAATCAGTTGACCATAAATAGATGGGCTGATTTCCGGGTTCTCAATTCTATTCCATTGCTCTATGTGTCTGTCATTGTACCAGTACCATGCTGTCTTGACTACCATGGCAGTGTAGTAGGATTTTAAATCGGAGTGAGATGCCTCCTACCTTTTTTCTATTTTTAAGGAGTGCTTTGCTTATTCGTGGTTTCTTTCCATTCCAAATGAAGCTGGAGATTGCCTTTCCATCTCGTTGAAGAATGGAATTGGTATTTGTATTTGGGATTGCATTGAACGTGTATATTGCCTTTGGTAGTATTGCCATTTTCACAACATTGAGCCTTCCTATCCATGAGCAGGGGATATTCTTCCACTTCTCCAGGTCTCTTTTTGTTTCTTGTAATAATGTTTTGTGGTTTTCTTTGAAGAGATCTTTTGTGTTTCTAGTTATATTAGCTATTGGTTTGCTGATAGTTACATTGGGTGTGTGAAAGCATACTTTGAAACCATATTTACTTTGATGGTTTTGATAGGAAGCTACCAGTTGTTTCTGTGAACTTTAATCTGAATCTGTAGTTCTCTACTGCTCCATCAACAGGAAGCATCTGGTTGTTCTTCATTTCATTGTTGGACAGTGCCAGGTGTATTTGTAATGTGTGCTGTTAAAATGAAAATAAATTATAAAATTACATTTCAGCTGATTGTAGAGGTCCTTACTGTAGGGAGCTCTGATGGCCTAGAGGCATGTGATTTGAATATACCAGCTGCTCTGATGGGCAGTCTTATTCCTGCCATTAACAGCCTCTGATAACCTGCTGGAGGGTCAGTGATAGTTCCATTCTGATTTGTGAAATCTTTTGATGCCATTTTTCCAACAGCTCACTCCATTGCATCTTTAGGTATTTTCACAATATTTCAGAAAAAAAACAAAAAAACAAAACAGTACTTAATACAGTTAATGCAGTATAGTGTAAACAGTTCTGTGAAACAAAAAATTTGTGTGGACTTGCTTCCCCCCCCCCCAGTATCTAAAATTGAACCTGTAGTATCTCTGAAGTATGCCTCTCGTTTTCCATTACATGAAATTTTTTGAGTGTGCATTGATTCCTTAACTGGTACCCCTCTCCAGTGTACTCTTAGTGTTTATGAACTCACTGAAGAGCTTTATCCTTATTTTCAAGCTAAAGAAACAACCCCAAACTAATAAAATCTTGACATTTAGGGGATAATTTAGTCTTCTGAGTGTTTTTCCTTTGGCCCCATGGCTTTCCAATAGGAGTAATTTGCTTTTAGTAGCACCAATGTGTCTACCTTTTGACCTTTAGTAGTATACTTTTTCTGAAGGTGTTTCTTCCATTATGATTTCTACAGGGCAAGCAATAGTGCTCTACACAAATACTTTGATGGGGAACTCTGTATCTTTAACTGGGTTGAGGTTTAAGATGAAGTAACTTCTCCAAAGAGAAATATTTTATGTAGGGCCATTGATAAATTTAGAACTAGAAGTCCAAAATTCTTAAGTACCTTTATAAGCATATTATTTCTTCAGGGTTTAGTGA